CTCTTAGGCATTCGCAGCAGCAACAAAGCTGACTTGCAATGCGCACCAGCAGAGCTGGTTTACGGCACAACACTCAAAGTTGCCGGGAGAATTCGTTTCACCTCCCCGCCTAACTTTGCGTCCTCCCTATCTCAACCCATGTGTTCACTACGCGAGTAGACTAGAGATGTGCAAATGCACAGCGGACTCTCTACCTGCACTCGTCTTCCTCCGCACCGACACGGTGCGGCGCCCTCTCCAGCCTCCCTACACTGGCCTTTTCAGAGTCCTGCAACGGACTCCGAAATATTTCACTTTAGACAAGAATGGTCATCGAACAACAGTGTCCATCGACCGCCTCAAAGTAGCTTTCTTTGACGAACCACTTGCAACCCATGCTGATGCTATCACACAAGCACCCGCACCTACGGTGACTTCCCGAGCACTGGATATCCCGAAACCCTTCGTTCTGCTTGACCCTCAACCTACCCCTCTTCATCCCCAAGCAACCGACCGACACGGTATACAGGTCAAACGTCCGGTTCGTTTTTCATATTTTGTAAACGTTTGCTATTTCCCTTACCACGCCATTTTCGTCTTTAGTGGTTATCGTGCGTCTTGTTCACAAACGTTTCGCAAAATCGACAAAAAAATCCCAAAACATTTTGAAAACATAAAAAGCGTATTTGCTTTTAGCATGCATGCCATGTTCCCTCTCCAGCGTCAAGCCACTTCCAGCGACCCTTGCTTATCCCCTCTGAGTTCTACCTTCCAGAAACTCAACCCCAGAATTGCCAAAGCGACTTTCGAGTGACTCGCCAACCGGCTCAACGCAACCCCCGAGTGACGCGCCAGCCGATCCAAGGCCGCCTTCCTGACCCAAAGAAGTTAGTCGCCCTCGGCCGCAGACAGCCACGAAGGGTTGGTCCCTAAACGCCTAGCTAGGCGTTGCTGACGATGACGCCCGGATTTCTTCGTGAGACGAGGACGCCTGGATTTCTTCGTGGAACGAGGACCGTTGACTGGAGTGTGGTGGGTGGAGTGACACCTCCCAAGCGCACCGTCGGGTCAGCGGCAAAGGGAAGGTCCTGTCGGCCTATGTTCTGGTCTAGCCAGTTTTATTGCAGTTCGACCAGCCCTGCCCCGACGGCCCAATGATGATGCACTCTGGCCCACACGATCATCGTAAATAGTAACTAACCAAAGCCTGGACCCAGCGAACTCTGTTACACACCCCACCTTGGAAGCCATTACTCAAGCTCGTGCAACTATTCACACCCATCATCACCTTCCGTTTCCCCCCACTAACAGCTCCATCGAAGGCTTCCATCCTTCAGCCTTTTAGGGGGAGGCCCTTGTAGTGTACCGGAAAACACGCTCTTTCAGTATTTTGCAACATTGGATTTTACGGTTGTTCTAAGCTTCAAAACGTCCACTTGCTTTACTGACGGCACATCCGTTTTCACAGAGCGTTTTGGTGAGTAACCTGCTGCACCGTTTCTCTCTCTGGTTGATTCGCTTCTTATTTTTGTAGCCCGCACAATATACGTTGGGTTCAGTCTCCTCCAACTTCTATACTGCCCCGTATTCGACACATCTCTTACGTGTCATTGATTAGCGATTAGTATCCCAGGCTCTACTCAACACGCTTCATCCGTCCATCGAATATAGTTTGCTGTGTCCGACTTCAATTCACTTCTGACGTCCGCACTTGATTACACGCATCGTCCCGGACTAGTATTTACTAATCCTATATATTGGTGACCACAATTCGCACGCGCTAATTTAAACATTTTTCGTCGTTTGTATTTTTTGATGAGTTCGTTCCTTTTTCTCGATTTCATACGTGTATTTATTAGTTTCTTGCCTAATTTTAATTGTTTCATCATTTTTATCCGTGACCTCGATTCAAATCTAGAAAGTGGCAGCTGAGTCGTTTCATAGCGTAGAAATGCATACTATGGCTGTTCTAAGTTTCATAGAAAACAGCCCAGAGATTAGGTTTGCCGTAATCGAGATCGATCTGGAAGGTAAGGGCATTCAGCCTGACCGTTTGAGGTACAATGAGCTCGTCCCACGCCTTCCTTCGTTGGTTGTGACGCTGGTTCAGGACATTCTACTCTGTCCATCGAATGGGCCAAAGTACGAAACAATGAAGCAAGCGATTCCAAAGGAGTTACAGTCCAGTGCACGAGCTCGATTTAAACAGCTCAGTGGTCTCAAGCTGCGAGATTGCAAGCTGTCGACGTTGCTCCGCGGAATTCATCGTATCGCTAGTTTCTTATTCTTGAGCGAAGTGCTAAAGGAACTGTGGTTTGCACGTCTCTCAGAGACGTTACCGGTTTCTAGATACGCCCCTGAAAGATCTAGCTACAAAAGCAGACGCTGCGTTCAAACGTCTTTCGCAGCAGACGACAAATATCTTCGGTGACATTCTCACCGATGAAAATCGAGTCTCGCATTTGCTCCAGACCGATCTGACCCTAAAGATGAGGAAATTGTGCTACTTTATAGCAGGACAGCAGCAATGAAGGCATCGAAGCGGCGTGTGCCACGGTCAGATGCTAACCACATTTTGAATACCGTTCATTGCGTCTCGTCTGTGCCCGCACAGAGTACTTTCGTTCCACACGAAAGCGTAACATTTTCTCTGCACTTTCTCAGTCAGAGAATACCAAACCCATTAAAGAATTATGTTGGTACCACCGCCAATATGGTTGGTGGTAAAGCTAGACGTTGTCGGGCTCCCTGCATTAGGCACGACTCAGCTGCTTCAGAGAAAGTGAATAGCCCGCGACTAACACGTCCATCAACAACCAAGCAAATTGCCTGTTCTACGTTAAGGATCGACGTTTTTCCATCACTTTCCTCATTGACACGGGAACGGAAATCAGCGTCATCTCTGTGAACACGAACGACAAGCACTCAAAGCATACGTACAATCTGATGGCTTCATTCGGTCAGCGCATGATGAACCTTGACCACAATCTCTGCCGAGATTTTCAGTGGGTTTCCATGGGTGACTCTGTACCCTTCGCAATTATAGGTATCGATTTACTCCGACAGTTTGGGTTAATTGTTGATGCTGGTCGCCACAGACTTTTAGACGACCGTACTAAACTAGGGGTTGAAGGTGTTCTTACGGACAACTCGCTTTTCGAATCGCCGATGTATCTTCAGATTATGCGAACCTACTGTCTGAATATCCGCAACTGGTACGACCAGCTGCAGAGCTTCCACCGGTCATGACAGAGGTCGCTCTTCACATTGTCACGCGCGGTCCGCCAACGATTGTCCGACCAAGACGACTCGCTTCCGACAAGTTACGTAGAGCAAGAGTTGAATTCGATCACATTCTTCAACTTGTTATCATCAGACCATCCGACAGGCGTCATCCCTCCATATGGTTCCGAAGAAGACTATGGGGGACTGGCGTCCTTGTGGTGATTATCGTTCCTTAAACAACGTGACCACGCAGGATCGGTATCCCATCCCACATACCGTGGATCACACCGCCAGTCTGACAGACAAAAAAGCTTTCATTAAAATCGACTTGGCGCGCGCTTACAACCAAATTCCGGTAACTGAGACGGACATCGCTAAAACTGCCGTGACGACTCCATTTGATTTGTCCGAGTTTCTGCGCATGCCGTTTGGTATAAATGAAGCCACAAACTTTTCAGCGCTTTATCGACCAAGCTTGTCGCAGCCTACACTTCGCTTATCTTTGACGACAGATCAATCGCGAGAAGAGCACTTGCGGCACGTTCGAACACTTTTTGATCGTTTATCTCAACATGGGTTGACGATCAACGCAGAAAAATGCTCGTTTGATGTCGATTCAGTCAGTTTTTTGGCCACGAGACCTCTTTCACAGGCCTCGTACCACTATGGGATAAAATTAAGGCCATCATCGACTATCCAGAGCACCATACTCTCAAGCATCTAAGACGCTTTGACAGGCTCGTCAATTTTTATCGCCGTTTTATACCAGAATATGGGTCGCTTATGCAGCCTCTCACTTACCTTTTCCGAGGAAAGATTGAGAAATTCAATGTCCTGGCGACAGCACGCAATGTGTTCAAAGCTTTAAAAGAAACTATCGCTAACATAGCTTCTCTAGCGCATCACGACCCGCGAACCCCTTTCGCTCAGTACCGAAGCTTCCGATCTGGCAGTTGCGGCGGTTCTACAACATAAGTTAGGTGGCTTGGTAGCCTTTGTCATTTTTCCCCAAACGCTTGCAACCTGCCGAATCTCATTACAGTACATTCGGTGGAGTTATTAGCCATCCACTTAGTCATACGTCATTTCCGACATGTTCGGGCCTTACTTTCACCGAACACAAAATCCTGCCCTATGTGCTCGGCTCGACAACCGAGAGAGTCGTGCCACTTAGACTACATCACTCAATTTACGGTCAACAAACGACATGATTCAGGTGTGCACAACGCCGGCGCGGACGCACTTGCCTGAATTTAAGCGATCTCCGCCGACGTCGGCACAGCTATCGACTTCGCAGTCACGGCCGCAGCGCGACTCAATGATCCTGAGATTGATCTTCTAAGTAGGTCTCTCTCAATGGACATACGACTCATTCTGCTGACCTCATCAGATGAAACTTTCCGATATATCTCTGGGTACGCTGCGCCGTCGTACCACGCGAGTTTCGACAGACTGTGCACGGTTTATCTCACCCAGGCGTTCGTACATCGGTTAAACTGATAGCCACACGATTCGTTTGGTGTAATGCCTATCGTGACGTCTGTATTTGGGCAACTGTTTGTCTTCCGCGTCAACGCGCGAAGGTGCACAAACACATGGAAAGCGCATTAGACACGTTTCCGACACCAGATGCACGTTTTCACCACGTACACGTCGACCTCGCAAGTCCTACGTCGCCGTTGAAAGGTTCGGTATATCTGCTGACTTGCATCGACCGATTCACCAGAGGATATTCCTAAATGCTCTTCGGAAACAGTAGCAAAGAAATTTTTGGAGCGCTGTCCCGCCATTGTGCCCACCGATCGAGGATCACACCTCTCGTCCACTTTTGCCACGTTGCTTAAGGATTTAGGTTGTCGGCATGTCCAGACGACGGCGTATCATTCGGCCGGTAACGGCATGGTGGAGCGTTTTCACCGCCATGTGAAGGCAGCGCTACGTGAGCACGCAGATCCTTCATGGTCTAAAACACTTGCTCTCGCCCTCCAAGGCTTAAGAAACACGGTTAAGATAGACTTCGACGCAACGCCAGCGCAGCTAATCTACGGCTGCACAACTACGGCTAGACAACTGGTGGCACCAGCCCCGTGTACTTCATTCTTTGACTACAGAAGTTACACTGACCGATTGGCTCACCAAATGCATGAGCTGCGGCAACTCGCTTCAAAGTTTCAGGAGACGCCGGTGTAGGTACCTGAAAAACTGTCTACTCGCCCTCATGTACTGCTTCGCGTAGACGGTGTTCGACAGCCTCTGCAGTCGCCGTACATCGGACCCTTCAAAATAATCAGCCGAACAGTTAAGACATTTACACTCGACCACGAGATCGTCACGATCGACCGTGTGAAGCCAGCCTTTATGGAGGAAATCACGTCACATCCATTGTCTAGCAATGCTTCGTGCGATGTTACAACTAACCGCACTGATGTACATCTTAATGTCGTCGAACCAGACCACGATCCAAATCTACAAGCACTGGCCGTCCCGCCATCTTCCTGTCGCCTCCAATGGCCGTGGTCGAGAGGTCCGTAAATCTGTTCGTTTTTCCGATTACGTACAGTGTAAATCCGTTTAGGTTTGTATATATTTGTCCCGTTTTTGGTCGATTAACTCACTGAAGACAAAAAAAGCTCAAAAACCCCCGATAAACCTTTAGAGAAAGTCCAAAAAGCACAAATCTAAACATTTTACACGCGTCATTCATTCGTTCCTCTTGACGTGTTCTATGTGTATTTTCCTGCTTTCTCCTCTCTACATGCCCCAACTTTCCCCTTCGGTCGACTGGCCCTCACAAGCGCCGTTTTCGAGGCTCGCCTCAGTCAACAAGGAGCCGGACGTGAACGCGGGGTCGCTCCTTCGTAGGACGAAAGTCGTTATGGCGCGGGGCGGAGTGCGAAGTCACCCCTAAATACGCCGTTCCGCAGCAGCCGAGGTCAAGGTCCTATCGGTCTTTTTCTGGACCAGCCAGATTTTTGAGGTCAAACAAGCCCGCTCCAACGGCTCGCCGAAATGCACCCTGCCATCCAACCAATAAATAATAAATAACAAACGGCAAAACGGACTTCGATTCCCGAAGAACCTTCATTTGACGCGAATGCTCACACATTCTTATTAGGCATGATTTACCCTAAGAACCTTGATTCATCCATCATTTTCGACTTCGAAGGCTTTATTTGTTTAGCCTTCTAGAGGAAAGCCCTGTAGCACCCAAGAGATAATTACTATCTTTTAGGTACAATTTCATTGCTAACTGATTGTATATTATTCTTTCCGGCTCTAATCTTTCTTACATCCGGCTCGACACTCGACTGCGCTTTAAGTTGTCGCGATGACATTTGCTCCTGTATGGCTTTATTCGTCCACATCTTTTGTATCCCATCGAATATTGTCCGCTGTGTCCGACTTCAATTGCCTTCTGATATCCGTGCTTGATTACGCGCATCGTCTCGGACTAGTGTTTACTAGTTCTACAGGTGCCATCCTACCAACAGTAATTGTTAAGAATACTTTAGAGTCCAGGATGTACCATCTTTTGATATGTGACCTCACCGGAAGATGCAGAAATGTCTGATACGCTTTCATGATTTTCGGCACCAGCACCGCCTCAATGAGGATTGCCATTGCCAGACTTTCGACTCAAAGATGCTGTGATATTTTGTGGTATCCCTGGATAGTGAAATCCTCATCACTATATTCCATCTAGTCTTTAGACTCGTTAGAATCGCCAGCTGTAGGTTTTCGTGAAATTTCATCACCTGTTCTGCTAGAAGTCATTGTGAATAAATGTCACTAGGATTTTTGTTGTCGCAAATAAGAGTGGTACCTAAATGCGGTCATTGAGACCGCCTACGGGCTTTCTCGGTAACACGAACAAAACCATTATTTTTCTCGAAAACTATAACATATATCAAAGCCAAAATTCAGTTACAAAGTACGGCAAAAATATTAAATCAGGAGTATCTTTGAAACGCTTTAAAAACGTAGAAGCTGTGCACATACAGCAAAGCTGAGCGGCCAAAATGACTGCTCCGGGCGTTCTAGCGTTGACAATGTTAGAAAACCCGGGGAATTGCGGTTTTTCGAAGATCTCAAGCTTTTCATAGTGTTTTGTTTGGTTAAAGCCGCACCTCAGAAAGTAGACCGAACCTACGTGCTCTGAAACATGGCGCCACGCCATTTGGGTGATTTTACTGTATATGTACACCGATGAATTAAAGGTTTCAAGCGGCATTCGTCAAAATTTGATGCTGCAAGCTAGCACGAATCAGTGCAGTGATTTACGGATCGACCGAGAAAGATGCGAACTTCCATCGCTTCTAAGCAACGGTGCGTTCAGGAGAAAAGGCTTAAATATGAGGGAGTTGAGATTCGCTAACGAGATGTGGTTTTTCGTTTCTATATTACAACGTAAATCAGGGTCAAAAAATAGATGTCACCTAAATTGTACAAGAAGCCAGTAGTTTGGACTGCGCGGTGAACTGATTGCTTATATAATGCCATCCATCTAGAGGCCGACTACCAAGGAAGCAGTGTTCCGAAAAGAGAGTAACTGTATCCACGGCAACCATAATGCGCCGGTACAGTTTACTTGTGATAGTAGCCAGAGTGGAACTGATGCATTTTAGATGGTACGCGCAAATTCAAAGTAGCTCTCAGTAATCTACTTGATGAAGCCAATCATTGGTTGTTTGAAAGGAACATCCCTGCGTACACCGACTACAAACCGTTTATTTCTGTCACTAGCAAACCGGTACAAAACGCACGCGGATGTTTCCAACGTTTGTAGACCAAACTTCAGAGCGACGTGATTATTGTGCAAACGCTGAGCACAAATGTAGCCATAAGGGCTGCTCTATCCTGAGCATATCCGCTGATAGTGGAGCATCATCAGGAAGAGACCGAGGTTGTAAACCTCACACAGCATACGGTATATTGACGGAATTGTAACCAAAAGAAATAAGGGACAGTACCAAAACAGGTGACCTACATGGCGCTTCGTGATGCAATCTTGAAATAATGGTCAGAGCAAATGATCAGCTTCCAAGAGAAGTAACATTTTCATCCATTTCATGATAAATTTGCCACGTGCAATGACTCGCTGTTCAGTGGGATTCGCATTTTAATCTCATCATTACCCTATGCGGACTTATTGGAACATGCTTATCGAACTTGTTTGCATATTAACCACAGGATTAGAGGATCAATAAAATTGGCGGTATGTCGGGTGGATGGACAGTTTAAGCGGTGACTGTCAAACTAAATAGCTTGTCGTTTCAGTGAAGTCCACCACACCAAGGAACAATTGATGTCGTAAGATGTTTTAGAGTGACCAACTGGAAAAACTGTTCCTGATGGCTGGCTAGTTGAATAACCCTGTGGTGCAAGCTGGGTGGTTCGGGTTTACCCCATTCTAGCATACAGTTCGGCAGCAGTGTTCCAGGATGTGGTGGGTTTTCGCCTAGCAAGGGTTCTCCTATAAAAAGCCACAAACGTCTGTTTAATAACAGTGCGACGATATGATCCACAATAAATAAGGTCACTGCTCCTTGCTTCTCTCCGGTGGAGCATTATTTCCAAGCAGTTTAGTGCTGAATTTGTGGGGAGCAATGGGCCCCTGTTTTGTAATTCAGAAAAAGAAAGGCGTATGAATCGAACAATGGATCAGCGGTTCTCAATGGGCGCGATTCCCTGAATTCGCTCAGTTGTCTTGTGGATAGGCCATTTAACCAAAGGTTCGGGATGGAGTCCCCTAAGACAGCTCCCTACTTCGGTCTAAGCAACCGGGTAGTATCTCGCCTACTGACGAACCATGGGAACACACTTACGCCCTTTCGATGTTATATGCTCCTGCTACTGCATCAGCTTTACAATCACAAGCCACCCAATTACCATGAATGGCCGTATTACTTTATTTGAAGCGATGACGATTCTTACAATTATTCTTACCATCAAACCTTGCTTGCACTACTTCTGATTGATAGCAAACTCCCAACACTTCAGGGGAAACATTGCTACACTTAGACAATTTTATTCACTATGATTATGTTGTACAATATGATCAGACCACGTCGAGAAATATACCATATATTTATTATTCACCAAATTCATTACCTGGTCTCTCGACGGTGAACAACTTTTTCTCCCCCGGTGAATTTGTCCCATCAACACCCGCAACTCAGCCACACAGTGCTTCACAGGGAACCACCAGGCACATGGTCCTCCATCATCGCTTCTGCAACCTGGAACTCAGTTCAAGCTAGCAGCGCTAAATGTGGGCACTCTACTGCAGATCGGACGACAAGCGGGACCGGCGCGCACCTTGGAAACCCTTGCACTTGATGTCTGCTTCCTGTCTGAGACACGACTTCAGGATTCCAACACAGTCTACCAGTCCACATCCGTTTTCATCTCCGCCTTTTTGGTGACGCTGAGTCCGCCGCTTCTGAGCAAGCTGGTGTTGGGATTGCGCTCAGTGCTAGAGCCGAGGTCGCCCTTCTTGATTGGATTCTACTCAACAGTCGTCTCTTTACTATTAAACTCCGTGGTTCCTGCAAGGTTAGCAGACATCGGGCCAATAATCGTGTTCTTTTTGTGATCTCCGCCTATGCCCCCAATGACTGCAGCTCGGATATAGTCAAGGACCAGTTCTATCAAAGTCTTCAAGATCTGCTCCTAAGGGCACCCAAAACGGACATCACCATTGTGGCAGGAGATCTCAACTCACGCGTTGGTCGGCTGCTTCCATCTGGACGCCACCTCGGGGACACATGGTATGATAATGTTCGCTCTGACAACGGAGAAAGACTGCTCAGTCTGTGTGGTGACCATCAACTTTTCCTTTCCAGTACGAGTTTTTGTCATCCCAGGCGACACTATGCCACCCGGCGTCCTCCAGCATCAACCCAGCGTTGCTCGCAAATCGACCACAGAGACATAAGCCGAAGGTGGCGTGGAAGCATACGCGATTGCCGATCATACTGGTCAACTTGTGTGGAAACCGATCATGCATTGGTGTGCGCGACAGTTTGCATGCGCTTCGGTGGCTCCCCAAGGGCCAAACAAACCCGACTGAACATTTGCAAATTGGAAGATCTCGTAGTACAAACAGAAGATCCGTGAAAACCTTGCCTTCTCTTCTCTTGATGAAGACCAGCACGGAGTACGCTTGCAAATTGCCATGCTGT